GAAGTCTTAAGCGGAGCACCATGCTCATAGGAGTCCGTGAATTGCTTATCTCGTGGTCATCGTGGTTAGCGGTATTGCTCGTGGGCGCGTACGCATGACGACGACGACGTCGCACAGTCGCGCAACATGGCGGCCATACCCTTATTAACAAAACATTTATCAAATTAATAGCGCTAACGAAGTCGGAGATCAACGGAACAATCCTAAAGCTGAGCGTTTAAACATCAATACCCTCTTATCTTATATTCTAATTCGCTGCCCCGTTCAACCGAATGTAAAACAGTTATCATGTAATAAGCAATCGCTTGTGGGGTGTGTCAACACGAGCCGTGTATAACCCTCTTTATCATGTCTTATCGATCAAAATTACATAGGATAATCAACAATGTAAGCGCAAAATAACAAAAACTGAACCTTAACACGTAGTGTATAGTATAAAGTGTACAACAATCCGAACATAAGCTAGCACAATGTAAATACAAAACATGTCAAGCCAGTACTTAAACATACTAATCGAATTTAGTCATTGGGTATTTAATTTAGAGGGCGAAGAGGCGGTCGTATGACCCGAATGAATACAAATGAAGACAACGCAACATATATACCAACGCCCCGCTAATGAAGCATTGTGACAGTGTCACATAACACCCAAAAGGAAGTTACGTAGTCTATGATAAAGACACTAATGTATGATTGCGTTAATTATTCAGACTGTGCACGGACCTAAATATCTACAAATCTATGCCTTCATTTAAGCAAGAGTTTTAAAACTTTAATTCGCACGTGCCGGGATGACTCATTAAAGCACATATCATGTTATAAAAGACCTTGTTAAACGTTGTGAGAGGTAGCTGACCCATGGTTCATTGAACTGTAGAAGCTTGACTTTCTGTTTTTGATCGGATTTGTTGGAAAGAATCAACTCGGTTTATAAGGAAATAAGAAATTCAGCTATCAGTAGTGTGTGATAAACTCGTGGTACTTCATAATAAAAGTAAAAAGTAAAAGGCATCTTGTAAAGCACTTTTGAAACATTTTCGTGAACTCCCTCCGTCCTCAGTGGAACACAACTGATAGATCAATATCTCACTTATTTAGTAGTTCGTGGAATATCATCTGGTAAGATCTATTCATTTTACACGTTCCCTTTGTCAGAATAAACCGCCGGGTTTGGTAAGGGTTTTTCCAAAATCAACGAACCAACCGAACGAAATGGCCGTAACATTTATTTAGGTTGTTTTCGGCTGATGAGGGACTGGAACTGGAATATCAAGCAAATAGTAAAGAAATTTCCGCCTTTCCGTTCCGAACTATCTCTGGAGGTAGTCTACAATTTTCGAACGGATTTTCCGGAAAAATTACTGTTCTAATATATAGACTTAGCCAAGCCTAAAAGCGGAGCTCCTGATTAAATAAATGATCATAACTGAAAAGAGGATATTTTTCCCGGATCAGAAACTCAAAAAATGATCAAAATGATCATTTATTTTCTAGTTATATTTTAACAAACCATACCTAATGAGTGTCACCAAGATTGAAAAAATGACGCACGCCGTATATTAGGGACTTTCCGAGAGACGATTGTGCAAGGAATGTGTCGGAAGAAAAGTCAACAACGTGTCAGGGTTTAATTTGCGCCGAAATTGTGAGTGAGTAGTGATAAGTTAATAAAGATGGTGA